CTTTATGAAAAGGGTACAAGAAAAGCACCTTTCTGTAAAATCGCAGTAAAATTAATGTGAAGCTAAAAATTATTTTGGCTACATAATGTGATTTTCTTTGCTTACAAGAACTCAACTCGTTTATTGCTTGCCTGCTGGTACGCACAGGCCGTTCCCTGCTCTCGTCTGTTGCATATACAGGTATTACCGGCTGCGCATTCGGTACCGTATAGAATATCTAGGCAAAGTATATAACAAATAATATTTCATACATTGTCTACACGTTATAGGTATTCTATACATTACTGAAGTATTTTATAGAATACCAGATTATACATATTGCCGGTAACATATACAGGGTGGCGTATCGAAAACGAAACAGACGCATTTACTGGCAGCTCAGTTTTTTTTTAAACGTGCAGCCCCCTAAGCGTGGGTGACACCACCCCCAAAATCTTAAACGGAAAGGGGGTCGAGTGATACCTCATTTTAAAGGTCTTTAAATTCCATTTATAATGATATAAAATTAATGTACTTCAGGTCAGTAGTTTTGAAGATTGATTGATTTAAAGCGTAAATAAAACTAATACATCATCATTAGTGGAGATCAATACATTTGGCAGCAAAGTAATTTAAAAATCAAGAATGAACTGACCCGTTAGGCAAGTAAATGTTGAAAATGGCCACCATGACTCTCCATGCAATAATAAAGATTTTGCTCAAAACGTTGCCGCACATTTTGCAATACTTGAGGAGTAACTTGAAGGCACTCATTCACAATTCTTTGTCGCAGGTCTTCTAATGATGTTGGCTGAGTAGCATAGATTTTGCTTTTCAAATGACCCCACATTAAGAAATCCAGAGCTGATAAATCTGGCGATCTTGGGGGCCATTCAATGGCACCTCTTCTACCAATCCATCGATCTGGAAACGTCTCATCCAAATATTGTCGAACACGTAATGCGTAATGTGGTGGGGCACCATCCTGTTGGAACATCAACCTATTCGCAATGTACCGCCGATCATTCTGATTTTCTGCTGTTAATGCAGGATCTATGGCGTCTTCCAGTAATTCCAAATACATTTCACCGGTCAAATTTCCAGGTAAGAAAAAAGGACCAACTAAATGATCGCCAAAAATACCAGCCCAAACATTTAATTTTTGTGGGTGCTGTGTATGAACCTCAGGATAAATTCTGGGATTAGAATCGGACTCATATCGGCAGTTATGACGATTTACTACGCCATTTAAGAAAAAGGGACATTCGTCGGAAAAGCAAGTGTTGAATAGAAAATGTTCGTCGTTTATAATTCGTTCACTCATATCTTCACAAAATTGTAATCGCCGATCAAAATCGTCTTCACTAAGTTCTTGTACGAGGTGAATTTTATACGGATGAAAACAATGGGCCTTTAGAATCCGTTGGACAGTACGTTGACTAACACCACACACAGTCGCCAATTTGCGGGAACTTAACGTAGAATCTACATAAATTTGCCCTAACACTCCCACTTCTATTGCTGCGTTCCTTATGGGATTTTCAATGTTGCGTTTTTTACTGGCGACTGGCCCAGTTTCCCAAAATTTAGCTACAAGTTCTAGAACATATTTTCGATGCACGTTACTGTTCTCATGTCGCTCATTAAATATTTCTGCTGTTCTATTAGCGCACTGATTATTTCCGAAAAATATTTCGATAATTTCAACTCTTTCTGCTGTGGAATATACCATGGTTAATTTATGTAATAAAGCGTTAAAAGTTATTTTAGCAACAAAATTTGGTCAAATCAATCGCAAACTATGTACTAAATACCTATTAAAGTCTACTTTAAGCTTTAAATCAATAAATCTTCAAAACTACTGAACTGAAGCTCATGTATTTTATATCATTATAAAAGGAATTGAAAGACCTTTAAAATAAGGTATCACTCGACCCCCCTTCCTATTTAACATTTTAACGTGATTTTTCGCCAAACTTGTGTCCCCCTCGAAAACAAAATCGACGGGTCTGAGCGTTTTTTAAAAAATAAAAAACGGAGCTGCCAGTAAATGCGTGTTTCGTTTTCGATGGGCCACCCTGTATATTCTAAAATTATTATGTATACTCTTAGTTATCAGTAGACCAGTTAGCAATCATACGTCACTATTAACCATTCTCAGATGAGCTCGCTGTTAAGCTTTGAGAATTCACACAAAAACTGCACTTGAGTCGAGTGAGTTAGAACCAGGTATAAGATCGAAAGTACCTCTTATATGCTTTCTTGTCTTTTGCGAAAAACGTGCGTCTCGCGAGGCGTACTTCCTTATATTCATTCAATGTTTTTACTTTTTTAGAATGCTCCTTAAATCTACGGATAGAAGTTGTATCAGACGCTGGATATCGTCAATACCATTGCACGCGACTAAGTTGGCTAAAACTGTATTGGAAACACGTGTTTACCCTATTTATACCCAGCAAGGGGATAAAGGTAATTATCGGAATTGGGTCTCTATGGTCAATTACAATTAGTAGGGTTTTGTGATGTGGATTATTTATCCTTAGTTACGTGAGGGATTTCCATGTAATGCGAGCTCGATTAGGATTTCTCGGAATATCTTTGAAAATTGATTTAGTATCCTTTAAAAAGGTTTTACAAGGGTATTCACGAGTATTATACAGGGTGTTCCTTAATGATATGCAAATATTTAAGGGTGTGAATCTTCATGAAAAATTAATGTTAGTTTCCTTTATAAACTATGGTCCAAAAATGTTTCCTCGCAAAAACTCGGGGTGTATATACGTTTTAGGAAAAAATGGAAATTAATTAATATTTTCAGAACCGCTTCAGATATTGCACTGATGCTTAGTACGTAGTGAGAGTTAAAAAAGTTGCATATTTTTCAATACAAAGATAATTTTTAGCTTTAACAGTGGCGTGCGTACGGGTATTGACTTCGATATTTTTTAAGAAAAAAATGGTACGCCAATGGTTTTTTGCCAAATTTGACAAGTCTCTGTTATTCAAATTAGTTCGCTGTGAAATCTTTTTCATTATTTAGTTCTTCCAATCTTGTTAATAATGGTGAATTATTCAAATGCAGAAATGGCGGAAATGCATTACGTATATGGCCTTGCCGACGGTAATGGTGAGCGCCAGACGTATTTATATCCAGAGATATCCCGATCGTGCTTTGCCAGATAGTCGAAAAGAACATCTGAAGGTAGATTATCTCTAAGCGTGAGAACACCTGAAATTGAGGAAGCAGTGCTGCACGAAGTCGAAGAACATCCTGAAACGAGTACGAAGAAGATCGCTAGACACTTAAATATTTGCCATCAAATTGTTTGGAGAATTTAGTAGATTTTTTGTTATATCCTTACCATATTTTAAGAGCACAGGCATTACATATCATTGATTTCTCAAGGTGTGTGATCTCTTGTCAGTGGTATCTTCAAAAAATAACACAAAATCCGCAATTTGAATCAATGATTCTGTTCACAGGCGAAGCTAATTTTTCTCGAAATGCCATTCAGAATTTCCACAATAATCATTTGTGGGCAGAAGAAATTCCCTATGCCCTAACCGAAACCCATTTCCAACACAAGTTTTCGGTTAACGTATGGGCAGGAATTATTGACAACGACTTTATTGGCCCACTGTTCTTGCCGGGACAACTTGACGGACAGACATACCTCAATTTTGTTCAACAACAGTTGCCTTTGCTGATTGATGATGTTCCATTAGTAACAAGAAACAATATGTGGTACATGCATGATCGTGCACCAGCGCATTTCAGAGTAGAGGTTCGTAATTATTTACAAACTGTTTATCCAAATCGTTGGATTGGCCGCGGTGGGCCCCAAGCATGGCTACCAGTGTCCCCAGACCTCAACAGTTTAGATTTTTTTTGTGGGGCTATCTTAAGACACTAGTGTACACAAGTCCCATTAACACTTGCAGCTTGTGATATAATGTGAATAAAAAACACTCCAGGGATATCTCAACGAGTGCGCAATTCCATGAGAATTTTTGTAATCATTTCGTTGTTTTTAATGTTATGTTGACAGTTGTTGTTGTTCATTACCCCTATTGTGTTTAATTTTTCCAATTAAATTATTAATAATTTTGCAAGGCAGTATTTAACGGAAGAAAACGTGGAATTATTGGACCATTCACCATATAGTCCCGATCTAATTCCTAACGATTTCTTTACTTTCCCGAAAATTAAAAACAGACTGCGTGGTCAAAAGTTCCGGTCACCAGAAGAAGCAGTTGACGCATTCAAAAATGCCGTTTTGGATCTGCCAACAAACGAGTGGAATAAGTGCTTTGAAAATTGGTTCGAGCGCATGCAGTTGTGTCTTAATCTTCATGGAGAATACTTCGAAAAACAATAAAGTCATTTAAAACTACCTACCGTGTTGTTTTATTTCCATATGCAAAACTTAAAACACACCCCTCGTACCCGCTCTTACATCCCCTGCATTGCCAGTATACACAAATCACACACTGTTTGGGGCGGTAACCTCAAACCGCTGTTTCCATTTTCACACTATAAGATGCTATACCTTTAGCAACATACTGTATAAGTCGCACCATCATGAGAAGATAACCCCTTACGATATGGTTGCTATTTTTAACAATGCTTATGTTAAGGCTGCTAATATAGCAAAAGGTGTAAGTGGTTTCGCATCGGCTGGGATATTCCCTCTTGATCCGGAAATTCACAGAAGAAGATTTTGCAGTGCGATTAGAGGTTGAATAGAGATTACCTGTTATAGAAGACAAAGATGTTGCTGTTGGTGTAGCCTTGAGGGATACTTCAATCTCCGGAGTCCAGGACAGCCCAACTGCAGCCCGAATGGAACTCCAGATCACATAGATGTCGGATCTCTGCAGAATTCACCTACCATGCCTTGTTCGGATGCTGGTGCTCAACCTCAATCAAAAGTAGTGTCTTTTAAATCTCTTTGTTCCATGCCTCAGTCTAAAATAGCGAAGATAGCTTGAAGAAAACAACATTCAGTTATTTTTACGAGATCCCCAAATATAGCACAACTGGAAGAGTCAGCTACAGTGAAAGCATTAAAGAAAAAGATTCAACAACTACAAGAAAAGATAAAAGTTAAGAAGGAAGAGAAGACAATAACAAAACAAGACAACACGATACCCAAGAGTAAAACTATAGGAAACTCTAAGGCAAGAAGCCTCAATTTCAAGACAGCAGGATTTGGTAAGTCTAAAAGCCGAAAAAACAATAGATTTGATGATTCATCATCAGAAGATGACCCCACTAACATAAAAGATATTTGCCAAGATGATTACTTGGACGATATGGACTCAAAGAATTCATTTCTACAAAAAGGATTAACAAGAGATGATTGTTTTACTGTACGGTGTACTCGTAGCCCCGACCCCCGGTGGGCCCAAGAAAATCCTCATACCATTCGTAAAGGTCATTTGGGCTATTTCGTACAGGGACACTTTTACGATAATTTTATTTTAAAATGTAAACAGTGGAACGATTCCAATTTCTTTGCATGTAATTAGGAGTCAATGGTCCAAATTTTAAGTTGTTTTGTTTTTTATATTTTTATACTTAATATTAGCTTACCACTGACAACTCTGGTTTAAGTGAAAAATATAGCCCCGCTTTCCCCTACCATTTGAGTGGAGTACTGTAAAAATAAATAAATTGGTTCCGAAATTCTGAAGAGGCGCTCATATTTTATATCTAATGCTAGGATGTGATATCTAATATTGTATCTACTTGTACCATCACTTTCCACGATTAACGATCTTTGATGTGTTTTGGTCGTAAACACTTTCGAATTATAAATATAAATAATAAAACGTTAAATTTCCTGACATTTTACGATGTCTCCGTCACGAAAATGCATTTCACATATCTCTCTATATACTAATCATAGTGAAGAAAATACTACTGCTTCTATGTATTCCAGAAGTATCATTCGTTTCCTTCACATTAATAAGCCAAAAAGAAATATGCTACACCAAAATCTAAACCTCGAGCAGCCATGGAAAGATCTCTATGGACTTTCACCCAAACGTAAGTGTTTTTATACTGACGCAGAATCAGAAATCTAAATACCGGGATACGCTGACTACGATGAACTTAAAAATACTTAGCTAAGGCGGTTCATCACGTCATACAAAGTCAATATAATCCTAGTGAAAACAGCAGACCCGCCTTGTAGGGTAGAAGTACCGCCCTGTACCATTGTATTTTATTACAAGGCCAGTACGTAAACAATTCAATATGGCGACAAAGTCGGGATAATATACTAAGTGACATATAAATCCGAACACCCAGATTAAATGTTTTTATTTTAATAAAAGTTGGTGAATGTATTTATCTTACTGTAAATAACAAGTGAAAAAATTTTCAGCCTTATCAGTTGGACATTCCGGTTTTTATACTGATTTTTTTTAATTCACTAACGCTCTAAAAATGAGTATTTCAGCCGCAGTAAAGAATCAACGTTGGCGGATTTTGGTTCTTGACATCCTTTACGATCGGTTATGATGCCTAGAGTACGGAGACCTGTACGATTTCGTCAAATCAGTGAGTTTGATAGGGGCCGTATAGTGGGACTTCGGGAAGCTGGACTTTCTTTTCGGGCAATTGCAGTTAGAGTGCAAAGAAGTGTAGACACTGTGATTAGGTGTTATCAGGCATGGCTTCGAGAAGGCCGTACGCAAAGAGCAAGGGGCACTGGACGCCGCCGTAGAACAACAGACCGTGAAGGTCGCCGCCTAAGATTATTGGCCTTAAGGGACCGTTTCTCCACTACCAGGTCCATTGCAAATGAATGGCTTGCAGAACACGGAAGACCTATTGGCATGCGAAGTGTTTACCGACGATTGAGAAGTTTTGGCTTGTTTTCATACCGGCCACACTGGGTCCTCCCTTTAACTCGAGAACACCGACGTAATCGCCTTGAGTGGTGCAGACAACGGTCACTCTGGGATCAGGAATGGAACAGTATTGTCTTTAGTGACGAGTCTCGATTTCGTTAGGCATGCCCGATGGTCGTGCCAGGGTTAGAAGGCGACGTGGTGAAGGAGGAATCCGCAGTTTTTTGTTGAAAGACATATTCATCGCACTGTTGGAGTTATGGTTTGGGGTGCTATAGCTTATGGTTCCAGGTCACCTTTAATCTTCATCAGAGGCAACATGGATGCGCAGCGTTATATCCACGAAGTTCTAGAACCCCATCTTTTACCCTATCTTGACATTCTGGCAGATCCAACTTTCCAACAAGATAATGCCCGACCACATGTTGCAAGAGTCACAATAGACTTCTTTCAACATAATGATGTCACATTGTTATCATGGCCACCAACATCTCCCGACTTATCCCCAATTGAGCACGTGTGGGATATGATGGGTAGGAGATTGCTCAATTTGCAACGTCCTCCTCAGACTCTAGAAGCACTTCGAGAGGAGTAGGTGGTTGCCTGGAATGAGATACCACAGGAGGACATTGACCACCTGATCAGAAGCATGCCTAGGCGCGTTGGAGAATGCGTAGCACATCAGGGTGCATCCACACATTATTAAAGGTCAAAGGGCTTTAAAGCAGTGCAATCATTTTGAAATTATTATCATTTACTTATTATGCTTCATTAAGTACTTATACAAAATTTTATTAAAATAAAACCATTTAAACTGGGTGTTCGGATTTATATGTCACTTAGTATATTATAGTCACTTACTTGGTGGTCGAATGAAAATGATCCATATCCTTTTGGCAAGCTTTTATGCTCGGTTTGTCGGGAAAAATACTTATCTGTAGAAAAATGATTTGAGTACCGACTCATGGTAGTTACCATTACATTTGTGAACCCAGACTACTAGTAAGGATTCGTCACACAGACTGAATCATGGGATCGTCACACAGACTGATCAGTGAGTTGTAACACAGGCTGACGATTTGGTCGGTAGGTGTCCAGACTGACATGTTGAGCTTAACGATAATTACGAAAAGAAGACCAAGAACCAGGTTATCACGTTATCGTGCCAATACCCAAAGCGCCGACGTTACCCCTGATCCAGAGAGATAACCATGCACCATGTTTATTTTAAACTAAAAATCCCTACACACATCCTGCCATGTAATCCTTTTAGACTCAAGCGATTGCCAACAAAAGATAGTTAAACGGTCACTCAGACTAAGGATGTCACGTCGGCCAAAAGCCATCCTGTCAACATCTCGAGCGCTCCGGGCAGAAGAAACCGAGCATTAATTAAGAGGGTAAATCGTACCGATTTTTTAATTTTTGACCACTGTACTCAAAAATTAAACTCTTTATTGACAATATTAGTACACGAGCACAAATGAACATTTAGCTTTTAATATATCTCACCATATCTTCAATAATGTTCTCTTCACATATAGAGCAGTACCAATCAGTAGGATCATATTCAATTTGAGCCTTTACCTCGGCAGATTTCGAAGTGGAAGATTGACCGTCACGTGCTTCAAAAAGTAGAAGAAAGCTCAAGATTTTTTTTTACTTCTTTGGTTGATGTTAGCCTTTGGTTACGTTTGTTTTCTAATTCATCCTTATAGGGCGTGGTGCTCAGAATGACGGCTGGTTGAGAAAATGTTCGTCTCTTAGCGTAACCTTTATGGCCGGGTAGAGGGTAAATTTCTTCAATAGAGGTATTGAGATATGTTGTGTTCCAATTTTTGTTTTGTTCAGTACTATCACTGTGAACTGGTGGCTCAGTAGCATCGTATTTAGGCTCAGGAGTCGTTTCATGTAGATTTTCTGCCTCTGAGTCCTCACTTGCTTTTTCTGAATAATTTTCAAGCAAGTCATTAGCAGCGATAAAATCTGTCTCAGAAAATACAGTGCGGTCAACGGGCAATATTCTAGTTCTTTTGAAACCATTCATGTATACTCGTAGTGCTTACTGATGCTGTTTTTGCATAGGCATCAGAGAGCAATCCAGCCATGTTGTATTGAGAATCAGTGTTACCTGGATTGCTTCTTAAAAATGTTTCTAGACCTTGAGAAAAATAGGATTCCATAGGCTGAAAAAAGCTCACGTCTAACCGATACATCCAACCGATTTGTATTATGGCCAGGGAGTTGCAGTAGTACAATTCCCTGACTTTTTGCTAAAATGAGTGCCTCTAGATTTTTAGAGTGACACAGCGCACATCCATTTAGTAAAAGTAAACCTTTTTTTCGGTACTTGGTTTTACCTACTCTATGAAGTGCTGTAACCATTTAACAAAAAGTTCACTATTTATATATCCACTATCTGAAATTGTAACAATAGTGCCAGGTATTGCACCTATGGTAAGCTCTGGAGCCATACGTTTTCTCTTAAAAATTATCAAGGACGGTACAGTTTGACAGGCAGCACTGGCACAAACGACAACTGTGGTATTTACGTCCCTTTCACCACTTGCTATACCTCCAACTTGGTGCTTTCCTCTACGTGCAATTATTTTTTGATTCCGTTTCTGAACTGCTGAAAATCCACTTTCATCAACATTACAAATTTTTTGAGCCGTAAAACCATTTTCATCAACAGATTTTTCTAAAATATCGAAGAACGCATGGACGTTTTTTTGGTTGAATCCAGTTGCTCTGGCCATGGAGGTTTTCTCTGGATGTCTAAGTAACAGTTCAGGATGACGGTCCATAAAAGAATAATACCATCCTTTTCCCGCCATTTCCTTATTGATACTGAAACGGTGTGGAATATCATTCCGAACAGCTATTTGAAAAGCCAATCGTCGAACATCTCTCGAATTGTTACACCAAAAAATCTTTCTTCCAGTTTTAAAATATGTTTTGCCAATTCCATTTCAATTTCAGGGCTAAAGGTTCTGTGTCGACCCAAAAAATGAACATTTTCATTTGCCTTTTTATTTAAAGAACGCAAGTGCCTTCTAAAAGTCTGCTTTGGAATGTTATAACGTCTGCAGCACTCATTAAAACCACACTGGTTTTGTTTGTAAGCATTAATCGCATGGTCTATATGTTCTGAGTTCCATCGCCAGTATTCCCGTTTTGTTATTTTCTTATTTATATTTTATATATACTTATATATACTTTACTCATCTTATTTTTTAAAAACCTGTAATAAAAGCTTTGTTGAAAATCGAAGCAAAGAGCCTCAGTTGGGTAAAACGTACCGGTATGATTAAATCATGTAAATTTTACAAAACCGCTGGTGGTGCGATATACAGAACAATCACGATTTTATGCTTATCAGTTAAATTTCATCCTAACTAAACCCTTTTTCAATTAATTATTACAGCAACAACTGACTACAAGTCCATAAAATACGTACAAAATATATCTTAAAATATCTACTTACTAAATGTAAAAAAAAAGCTTATGAGTAGGAGCAAAAAATAACATGAACAACACTGCTTTTAATTTAACCTCAAACTGACTTACAGTGTAAAGTGAACTGCAAAGAATAATTTGGGCGGGGCAAATATAATCATAACAGCGTCTGAATTTTGACAAGAGGTGTCACGGGTGGTAGATCATTATTT